AAATTATCATTAAATTTATTATTCATTAAATAATAATTCATTCTGTTACGCATTAACTAACATGAATACAAATGTGTGTACAAATATTTTATATAAAAATGGCTTTATTTCTAATACTACCAGTAATGACTTTAATAATTAATTTTTTCCATTAATTGTTGAATTTTTTTGTTTAATATACATATTTATTATGTAGTACAATTGTTTCATTAAACGTATACTTCTGTATGTTCAAAGTAAAAAAATGTTTCAGATCCTTACACAAACGTTTTAATTGAAACAAAACGTAATTGTGTATTTTTGTGAAAAAAAAAAAAATTTTGTTTGCTTTTTCGTTTTCTTCGTTTCCCTTGCCAACATTGTTTACCGAGACAAGAAGGAAACCGATCCCTTTTACCGATATCCTTATTTCTTCCCTCTATGACTTTGTACGAGTGATTCCAAGTCGTGCTCTCACCGAGTGCATAAATTGATCCGGAAACTGTTTCTGCATTGCTTATTATCTGAATATTATTTAAAAGTCATACAGTACGAACACAACACGATATGTATGTCCACCTCTCTAGCGACGACCGACCGACTACCCGATTTTTCACCTTTTTCAACTCATATAGTCCACAAATAAAGATACCTGTACGCCTCTACACACACGGCATCGTTATCCTCAATAGCTTTATAACTCCCCTTCTGGAGGAAAGGAAGATGAGAGTGGGCATAGAAGCACGCGCGCGTGCACCTCCTCCCCGGCACGCTTCCTGCCTCTCTTTTATCTATACTCGTCTCTATAAGGGAACCGCACGAGGAGCCGTCGAGGCGTTTAAGTATATAGGCACGATGCAAGTGCGGAAAGGGAATAATACATAGTTAACAGCTCTCCCCGATGCTGATGGTGTGTGTGTGTTAATTCATTGGCTGGAGTTATGGGTGCTGCATTGGTACCCTCTGTGTTTTTTTTTTTTTTTTTTCTTTTTTCTAAGCCACCCCATTCTCTCTATTGAGCTGTATATAATACGATACGGCGAGGCGAAAATTGTAGTACCGATCGTTACGGATACTCTGCAGAATTTGATGCACGCTCGGTGATGACGATAATCGTGTTTTGTATTATTTCGCTGGAATTTCTATTGATTTTTTTAACAATATTGCACAATACGCGCATTCACGGGGGAACATTCGATGAATGGTATATTGTGCCTACGCACTCGATTCTCAAGCACGACACGTGTGCAAAGTTGCGAAATCGATTGGCGAATCGGTGCATCTCTCGACGTTCTAAATAACACTCGGCCATCCGAGAAAACAAGAGCCGAACGAGCGAACAAAGAAACACCTTCTTCGAACTGAAAAACCCATGAAAAACAAAAGCTTACAACAAATGAAAAAAAAAAAAAAAAAAGGAAAAAAAAATAATTGAAAGATACACGCGTGAGAGAGCTCTGGTGATGCATTTTATCGTTTCGCGTGGATGAGAAAACGAAAGACAACACACTGCACTGGAGCGGAGAGTCGCGAATAATGAAACCATATAAAATAAAAAAAAAAAGAAGAGAAGACAAGAGGGAAAAATAGGTGCACTACACAGCCAAGCTCCTCTCCGAACTGTGGCATCGTACAATCCCCCTATGTATATCCTGCTCGAGGCGTACAGTATGTGTTATAACACACTAGCCTCTTTCGGCGTCAGGGAACGCGGACGAGATGTGTCTATGGGTTACTCAGTTAAACCGGTGTACTGCTGCTTCCAGCAAGAGCCTGTGGTACCCATATACACATACCTACCGCTTATTTATTGGCTCGTTCACTCACATGTACGTATACGTATATCTATACTCGTAGGTTAGGAAAAGTGGTTTTCGCTCCATACGATCGTCGGGGCTGATTCTCTTGTTATACACTCTCGCTCTTATATTTACGCTTCGGGGAATTATTATTTGCTCCTATACATGTATTGCGTGCGACCCACACGAAGGGGTTTTTGCATGTGACTCTTTAATTAGATTTTTTCAAAAATCATTTGTTTATTAAAATATAGATTTTTAAAACATTTAATATGACCTAGATATTTTTATGTTGGCAGAAAATTGATCTTGGGAAATGTGCATGTTAGCATTATTTATTTAACTATAACGTAGTTCTTAAAACATTGACATTTTTTTTACTTCCTAAACAAGTTCCAAAATTTTTTCTATGAATTACAGCTAATTACATTGTTGTATTTGACTGATTAAAAAAAAATTATATACCTCCTGTCTTTGCAATCTTACATTAAAATTCAATTCATTAAACCCTAAAAATTATATTATATCATAATGAACTACATTACACTATTTTATATTATAATATATTATTTTGTATTAAATTATTTTATATTATGTAAGTACCTCTG